GTTAAAGTTTGTTGAGTCAAAGATTCTTGGATATCTCTATCTACTTGACTATCCTCTGTCTTATTGCGAAGCAATGACCCTTCAGGTCTAGGCTTACATACAAAATATTTTGCAAGAGATAAAGAGTTCAGATCCTTTGGCAGAGACTGCATAACTAATATATCATCATCATTTTTTTCATTTGTCTTACCTCTGATCTTGACTTGTTCTGATGATAATCTATTGCAAGGCAATAGCTCTTTGAGTCTAGTTTCTAAGGAGCGTATCTCTTAATTTTTTTTAGCCAAATCATTTTTTATTAGTTCTAATTCGCTATTTTTTAAAGTTAACATATTCTTCATACGCTCTAATTCACTATTTTTCGAAGCTAGATTAGAATTCAAGACAGATAATTCGACCCTAAGATAATCAATCTTAGATTCTTTCATAGATGAGTCCTTCTGGGTTAAAGATAGTCTCGTCTCCGATGCTTTTATCTTAGACTGGAGAGCCTTCATCTCTTTTAGTTTTATACAAATCTTGTCTTTATATTCATTAAGAGAAATATCCTTGCAAGTAATCTGGGATGTTAGAGTATCTAACTCTGAGTGAAATCGCTTAACCTCATCTTTAAGTTGGTAGATATGCTTGGAAAGTTTCTCTTTATCTTTATTAGATTAAGTTAGATCCTGTTGTATGCGCTTATTGTCTTTATCCAAGACAGAACATTTATTGGCAAATCGATTGCCACACTCTATAGCAATTTCTCAATCTTGATTTGCACAAGCAAGCTGGTTTTCAAGTTCTGTTCGACTAGGCGGATATCAGTTTGATGGTATGTCTCCAAGTTTTTTGCATTTACCTATATCTGATAATGTACGGATTCGAGGCATATTATCCAATTCTTATAGATATCTAAAAAATTAATATATTTGTATTTTGAATATAAATAGTATATAGAATATACGTATTAGATGGAATATACATATCTGTTATGATGTATTAGATCGAATATACATATCTATTATATAGAAAAATGAATAATATTATTCTGTATATTCTATCTTTCTAATATATTTTAATATTTCGATATATTTTATATTTTTTGTTAGATATAAATATTTTATATTTATATTTACTGCTATGCCTAGAGTACATATACGATCTGATGTACCCTATTTTCTCGGGAAGATTATTCTTATATTATGCAATGTCGTGATATAAAACCAAGATATAAAATTTTAAATGACTTGATGGGTAAGTATAAAACATCAACAAAATGTATTTATTAGATTTGGAGGAGGAAGAAGCTAATAGAGTTCTCTGGGATCAACCTATACCCATGATGATGATGATGACTCTAATCAAAATTTAAATATTTTGCATAATGTACAAAGTATACAAGTACAGTCTAGTATATCCAGCCATGATGTGTCTACCTCTGATAATAATTCATCTAATACAAATGATATAATTTACTCTAAAGTTTTACTAGATAAATCAGCAGAGATAACACGATCAAAGACGAGTCAAAGACTCGAAGCTCAGCTTCCTCAAAATTCTAATTCCTCACGTGCAGTAAAAAAAAGTGTTTTTTCTGATAGGAACAAAGTCCCATGTCTCAAAGAGATGCCTTCTACAGGTCTGCAAAGCAATAATATATCTAGAAGAAAAAACGATCTTGAAAAATTAATGAAAGACACTGAAAGATTAGCTCCTATGCTCCCATCTTTGTCTCAGTAAGCTGAGAACATC